AGTGAAAACAGAGAAAACATGAATGTTTTTGTTTTTTCCTTTTTAGAATAATATTATTCATTTTATACAAAAAGAAATCTTGGGAAAGAAAAAATTTCTCCCCACCATTACTCACACTTAGCATATAATAATCAACACAAACGTGAGTCCTTGGTGATGTACTTTCTCAAATTCTGTTGAATCTATCTAATGTGTTTGTAACTGAGGACCAATTTAAGAAAATTTAGAGCTGACCCTATTGCCTAGTGGTTAAGGGCATGGGTCCTATGTGGATGACCATGGCTGAATCCTAGCCCTGGTGGCTTGAAAAACACATTGAATACGTGTATGTGTGTGTACACACCCCCCAAAAATCCCCACAAGATGGGGAGGTGAAAGAAAAGGGATGTGAGGAGGTGACTGTGCTACATGGAAGAGTACTTCCTAGCTCTCCCTCTGTTTCTCTGTCCATCAAGTGCTTGTTCCCTCTGGCACATTAAACAAAAACAAAAACAAACAAAAAAAAATCAGAGCATAGCCTAGCACATATTCTTCAAATCTGCTTCTTTCTGATCTTAAAAGATTTTACATAAACTTTATTTGTTCACAGAAAAGAAATGTGAGCTGCTAACTCTAATTCTCCAGATTTTTGCTATTTTTACCTAAACTAGTATTGATTTAATAAAGAAAACAAAACAAAACAAAACTCCAAAATGTGACCCAAAAGCAAAGTAGATAAAATCTCTGGAATTCTTATGCCTTTGAGTAATTTAACTCAACTGAAAGACTTACTAAACCTTGTGAGGAATATTTTCCAGTCCCATTCCCATTATCTGAACTTTTTGCCTCTCTGAAAGTACTTCTACAAAACGTGTTCTTGGCTAAATCTTATACAGGGATTATTTTTGTTTTTATTTGAATTGTCCAATATCATTATTTTAAAGATTCTGTTCTGTATTTCTTGTAACAAGCTGCAGTCCTTTGGAAAATGTTTTCTGTATTTTTGTTTGCTTTTTACTTTTTCTTTATTTAAGCTGCTTCTTCCTCTTCCTCTTGTGTGCTTTTATGTTTTGAATATACTCCACAGAGTAAGGAAGGTAAGGAAAAATCTAGTGCTTAAGTAATGTTCAGCAATTGCAAATAAATCCACTAGAAAAACCTTAATAAGAAGAAATTAAACTGTTAATTAACATAAAATAAAGCCTATTTCTCATCAAATAAATTGAGACTAATATGTTCTAAAACATGAGAGAAATATAATGGTAAATTTTACAACATACCACAGGGATATTTGGAAGTCTCTAAAATGTAATATAGAATTAAAATTCAAACATAATTTTTAATTACTAATTAATTATTCTAAGACCTCTGAGCTTTTTCTACACTATACAATCTTTCCTTCATACAACCAACATTGTCATCTCAGGGAGTTGATTTCATTTTTAAATAATTCAGTTTTCATTTTATTTAACAACTTAATTGCTATAATTCATATACCATACAATTCATCCATTTACAGTGTACAATCTAATGGTCTTTAGTATGTTCACAGAGCTGTGCAACCATCCCTACATCAATTTCAGAACAGTTTCATCATTCAAGAAATGAAAATGAAGTCCTTTCTCATATTCCCTCTTCCCATTCTCTTCCCTTCCCTGGTCTCAGGCAAATCCGTTTCTGTTTCTACTGGGTCTTGAGAAAGTATATGCAAAAACACACCATGACTTTCCCTATGACCTAATACATGTTCGCCTATTCTGGACATTTCTTTTTTTTCCTAGTAGATAAAGTTTCAATGGTAAAAATCCACAGCACTCTGGTTAAAGAAGATTTTGTTCCCAGTCCTAATTACAGAATTTTCTGCTTGTCCAATAGGTACGATTCTAATATTCCCTTGTTATTTAAGCTTTCAGTTAGTTCTTTCTTCCTGCACTTTACTTCAGAGACTAGAAAGAACAATATTTAAACAACTTTCCATTTTCCCAAAATTAAAATTCCACAAGAAAATAATGGGTCCCACTGGGGATGCATATTGAGCAGTCAAAATAAAATAAATAAATCAATAAACAAAAAGTTTCATAAAAAGAGAAGTCACAGAATATGAAAGTTAATAGTCCAGTTTTCAAATCTCTCCCCCAGTCTCCACTCCTCTAAGTTGAATGAACTCTGAGGCACTGCAGCCTTATGTCCTCAAGTCTCTCAGTGGGACTGAGCCCCAGCTGTCCTTGCAGCAATCGATTTTACAATGAATTCTTCATGCATTTCCTTCCTTTCCCTAGCTATTTCCTCACTCCCTTATTTCTGGTTTCTGATGAGCACTTCCCAAATAAACTTCTTTTCCTTTTTGCTTCACTTTTTTACAGAAAAGAAATATATAAAGAACAACTACTTTAGTTAAAAAAAATGAGCCCCTGCCTGTTTTCAGGGATACTAATATTTAGGAGCCATTAAAGATATCTTAATGATGAAAAAGTTGGCATTTTGGGGCCAACAGGAGGCTTGGTGGTTAAAGCACTGAAATTCTCATGGCCAACCACTGGCTTGAAAGTCATGCTGGGCACGTGTGTATACCATGTACAATGCCTGCCCAAAGTTCTAAGAAGAAAAGGGCTGGCATCATGGCCATTCCTCCTGGGCAGGGGTGATTTCTCACTTTCCCTGTTTCTCTCTGGCGAGTGCAAGCGCCATATGTCAAAAACCTAAAATTACTACAGCAACAAAAATAGTTGGTGTTTTGCATAACACATGTTGTTTTCCCATTCTGTTAGGGGCTATAATATTGGGATAGACCATGGACCAGGGACAGCACTGTGAAATTGAGCATCAGGTTGCTGGAGTGTCTCAAATGTCATTGTCTCTGCCTGATGCCAAACACTTGCTGTGAGGGCTACTTTAGAGCCAGTGTGTACCCATAATCTTGGGAGCAGCAGTGAACATAGAGTAAACCCACACTGATGACAGTTCTGGGAACCTCCAAAAACAAACTCACTGCCACTTATTTGTGATAGCCAGGTTGTTTCACAGTTGTCATCCTAGTTTGTTTTTGTTTGTTTGTTTGTTTGTCTCTGTTGATCTCCTCTAAGTGCTTTTCTCCAGCTTATCTGGGAAGTCACAACACATCATAAGGAAGAATCCACAGCAGTTCTGGGCACTGAAGTCCTGGTAGCAAGGGAGGCTTACTAAAGGCTGCTTTAAATGGTTTAATTATTTTTATTATTTATTTTTTAAATTTGCCAGAGGGCATGTGCACTTACCAGAACAAGAAAGAGAGAGAGCACACTCAGTGGGGTGTGTTCATGCCACAATCTCTACTCTACTTCTCCATCCTCTCAGGATTCGGGGCACATACATACATGCACCTGGCATCACTTTTTGTTTGTTTGTTTTTACTGGGGCCAGGTATTGAACTGGCAGTCAACTATGTGGAATCCAGCTCCTTTAACAACCAGGCCACAGGCTGGCCCAAGGCCACTTTACTTATCCCTTACATATAGTCCATCTTCCCCAGGGAGCCAGCATTGAGCCACAGCTCTCTCAGGCTTCCATATCACCCAAATACTCTGCCTGTGGAAAAGCAGGGATAGTTGCCTACAAAACTGCAAATGGAATCCATTCTCCAACAGCTGTATTAGAATGTTCCTCTATCAGCCATCAGTCATCAACTGAAAATACACAGTTATCATCTTCTCTTACATTCATGTTGGTGGAACAAGAGAGCCCCAGTAAAGCTCTCTGTTCATCTCTCCTCCCCCTAAACAAAAGCTACTTTTCCATCTATCTGCTAAATTGCATGAAGTATCACTTCAGATTATTAATAATGATCTCTAACATTCCCTGTGTTCTCATCATGCATGAGAGACTACCCCAAGTTCATTATACAAATTGAATTTAACTTTCATGATAAGAATATGAGGTGAAAAAACAATATCAATATGAGTTGTCTTTAAAAAATTCATGGAAAATGCATATTATAAAAAAGTTAGACATGGATTTCAACTTCCTTTTTGTACCAAAATAAACTCATACTTTAATTCCATTTTTCCATGAACGTTTAACTTATGTTAACCTTTAACTTATTGCAGTTGTCAGCTAAGTATTGTCTTAATTTCACTCATGAAAAACTTGAGCCCCCTGGGTTATTTGACTAGGATCACCAAATTAATGAGTGATAAAAAGTTACACAAGGTCTTTTGGTTTTCCTACAATGCTATTTTTACAAAAGCAAGCTGCATCTGAACATCATGATCTAATGTATTTTTTTTCTTTCTTTTTTTCTTTTTTTTTGGAGAGATTTTTGCTATAGGGCACGTGTGCTTGCGAGAAAGACAGAGAGAGACAGAGAGACAGAAAGCGAGAAATCACACCCCCCCCGGGGGGGATGGCCACGCCACAATCCCTTTTCCTCCAGTCTCCTCTCGGGATCTTGGGCATGCATACACACACGCCCAACATGAGTTTAAGCCACTGGGTCCAGGACTTGAACCACGGTCGACTACATGGGAGTCCAGTGACATAGCCATTATGCCAACTGCTGGTCGCTGTCTAATGTATTTTTATAGCATCTCAGGCAATATCAGAATCGCAACAACATGAACATAGTAGAGAAAATGTTGGTTGTGGGGAGAACATAAAACATGGATAACTGGCTGCCTTGGGGTTAGTGCCCTGCACTAACCCCTGATTCAGTTAGCAATGAAGGCATAAAATAAAACTGGTGTTGAAAAATAGTCACAGTCATTTTTCTATTTACCCATTTTCCTCCTTTATTTGGCTGCTGAATATAGGGGCACGTTAGTATTGCTGTCAGCTTACTAGAAGGCATTTAAAGTTTGGACAATGGTGTGAGAAGCTGTAGGTAAATCCCTCCTCGGCTGGGTGTTAGTAGAGTACTGCGATACTATTTGCCTGCAGCAAACTTGATTTTTAGTTCCTCTGCTGCACTGCAGTTCATAAAAGGAACACTCATTATGAAAAAAAGAAAAGTTAAATCTAGCAAGTGGTTAGCACCAGCATTCCAAAAAAAAAAAAAAAAAAAAAAACTCCCGCAGCCTGTGTTTTCAGCTTCTGTTCCAACTTCATTGCTGGAAAATAAAAGAAAATCATAGTCACATGATAGGAATAAGTAACTTTAGGAAAACAATACACATCTGAAAATTGTAGATTAATGTTTGGGCATAGTATCTCATATTAAAAAATGGCTTATAGTAGGAAAAAATGTGTTTGATCTTATTCTCTCAGTTGCTTCTTTCTGGTTAATGAGTGACGGCATCCTCAAGCTATGCAACTCTACCTCACCCCACCCACAGCCCTTACTCTTCAAAGATTCGTCTGCGACCTTGTCCTTCTCACAGCAATAACTGCATCATTCCCTAAAATATTCCATCCAAAATGGGGAGGTAAAGTGAATTGAGATTGGATTAACTTTCAGCTTTTGCAAAATGGAGCATTGCGAAAGCTAGAGACAGCAAAAAAACCTCTCGCTTTTTTGCTTCTATTGATTCGTTTGGCTTTGTAATGTCGCTGTGTGGTAAGGAAGTAATTCCAATAATTTCTCTATCTGTTCAATCTCTGTGTGTCCCTATTTGTTAGGGTTGCACTGTCTGGAACAGATAAGATAAACTTAACTTAGTGGAGACGGGTATTGGCAACTGTAAAGGCAGATTACACAAAAGGAAGTATAAAAGGAAACATCGGAGATGAGAAGAAATGTAGTTCAAGAAAAGACATTTAGTGCTAAAACATTATTCTGATAGAACAACATGAAATGACACCAATGGAGGAAATAACCAGAACTTTCTATTTCCAGGTGCCACTCATGGCTGGCAACGCCACATTTCAAAATGGCTGGGGGGTGAGGGGTATAAAGATTAGTTGCTTTTCTGTAGGCAACTCCCTCTGGTTTACTCTGGGCCAGATGGTGGGGTGAAGAAGCAGTGTTCTGAGAAAGCTGTGGCTTAGAGCTGGTTCCAAGGGGAATCATGGGCTGTGTGCAGGGTAAAAATAAAACAAAAAGAAAATCTGAGTGTGGCATGGTTAAGCAGCTAAGTGGGATTGTGAAACACGGATGCATTTGGCATCATTGCGAGGAAACTGCATTTGTTGGATTAGAAGGACGAGATGGAGAAAAAGCATTAAGGCAAGGATAGCTCTGTTACTGCACTGATTTGTTCTCGCCGTGGGAAACCAACGAGTCATGAAATCAGAGGTGAGCTGTAGCTTTCATCATCTGGGATTTTTCTGAGGCTTTGAAAAGAAAGGGGAAGTGAGTAAATTACATCTCCTCCTTTCTTTTTTGAACAAATAAGAACTACCATCTATTTGATTTCCCTGAAAGTACCAACATTTGTAATTAATATTAAAATAGTTATAAAGAAGTCATTATTATCTGGCTTACACTTAAGTGTTATATATTTTATACATTTATATATTAATTCGTATCTCATCATAATGATTTGATCCAATTTTACAGAGATGAAACTGAGGCTGAAAAAGACTTAATATTGCACTCAAAGCCACAGTAGTCCAAATGAAATCTCCATTCATTCAATATTTTTTATTTGTTTTTGTTGTGCATACGTCATGAGTTTGTCAGGCTGAGACATATATTGAGTCTGATTTGTAAGATGATAAACTGCCACCAGAAGAATTTAAACAGAAAATATTTAAGGATATGTACTCGTCAGGATTATAATATTAAATTAAATATGGGACTAAATGCTAAGTCTCCTTTAAAATACAGTATTTTACAATAATCTGAATCACTAAATCAGATTGAAGAGAACTGGTAGAACATCGTTTGACATCCTGCTGGAAACGCAGCGCTAGCTTCAGTTCTTCCCGAAACCACTGGCAGATCAAAGCACTGTTTGGCAACACCGTTCAGGAGCTTGTTTGCCATGATGTATTATACTATGATGGATAGAGCCATCATTTTAGAAGTTTTGTGAAGGTTTTATTTTTCTTTCTCAACCTCAATACAAGGAAAGTGCTAAATAACTTGGAAAAAAATAAAGGTGAACATTTAAGAAAGATGAAAATTGCTAAATAAATAAGTAAAAAAAACGTGTTATTTTCGGACTAGCAACTGGCAGTGAAGGCTTACTATTTTATCACATTGCCTATTGAACAACGTATTTATCTGGATAGAAGTATATAAAAAATAACTTAAAGCACTTCAAATATTATCATTGTGAAGGGAGACAAATTCCTTTTTTTCTTTCTTTCTTTTAGTTTATTTAGAAGGAAGTTTGGGCGGTCCAGCCACCCATGTAAGGATTAAGGCACTAGATCCCACCTCACCAAGAGTGGGATTCGAGTAGCAGACCGGACCTAATGGCTTGAGAAACATGCTGGGTGTGTGAGCATGTGTGCACCCGAAATCATGACAGGAGCAGTGGAGGATAAAGGATTGTGGGGTGACCATCAACCATGGATGTGGTTCTTTCTCACTTTCCCTCCCTTTCTCTCTGTGGCAGCACACATGACCTCTGGCAAAGGAAAAAAAAAAAGAAAAGAAAAACTAGAGTTAACTTTGAGTTGTTAAGTAATAAGCGATATAATCTTGTGAAACTTTAAGCCAATGTTATAGAAAGCATTTGGGGAAAATGTACTGCATAAAGTGATTAATCATTCTCTTTTTTGTTTGTGCATTTTTTGCAGTTTTTCTTATAGGGCACATATGCTCACCAGAGAGAGAGAGAGGAAAAGTGAGGAATCAGACACTTCCCCCAGCCCCGCCAAGGAGAAATGGCCATGTCACTATCCTCTCTCCTCCTGTCTCTCAGCTGACCATGGGGATCCAGCACTTTAACATCTATGCCACTTGCTAGCCCAGATTTTTCATTCCCTTTTAACACAAAGAGAAATATCCATATTCTTTCCTGACAAATGAAAGTAAAATAATCCACATGTATGTATTTATAAATATGAAACCAGGCTTGATATATCCAAAACAAAAAGCCATTTACCTGAAATGTATACTGTTATTATATGAAATGCCGTCCTTGTTTCCTGAGAGTTTAAACACATTTTGAACATTTACATAACTATTAACTTTGGAACAAGAACACATAATCTAGTATTGAGACTCCCTATCAATAAGTCAAAGCTAGAAAACATTCAGTAACTAAGGTCCTACGAAGTACATGATAGAAAATGGAGATATAATGGATTCCCCAGAGTACACTATTGAATCTGGGGCCCAAACCATCTGCTATCTGGATCATCTGACATCCAAATAGTTATTCACCCTGACTTCACGATGTCGTTTCTCTTAGGACAGCTACCAGAGGGGGCAGTTGTAAGTCCGTCTAGTTCCTGACTTCTGCTCTGATTTCCAATCATTCACTGCATTACGAAACCTACTTAACCCTATCAGGATTAAATTGGAAGGTGGGGTCCCCAAATTGTCAAGCCCCCATTTTTTTTATCATAGATTTCACTGAGTTTCTTGGACAGAAAAATGAATAAGCTTGTTTCTTTTTATTGGCTACTTCAGTAAGACTTTGTTATTTCAGTTCTGGTACTTGCCAACCAAGTATAAGGACAAACAGAAATGAAATATAAGAGGTTCAATTCTCTCTTTTGAACGTAAGATAAGAGATTTCATTCCTCCTCCTTTTTCTTAGAGCATTTATTTAAACAAACAAACAAACAAAAAACTTGTCCTCTTAAGTCCATTCTCCTTTCTTTGGAATGTATGTAGATCTTTATGAAAACTATTGGGTCATCAGAAAACAGAAAAAATACATCATGACTTTTCTGACAACCTAATAGATGTTGCCCGTAATAGATGGGTCTGTTATCAGACCCAGGAAAATCTTCCTCAGGGATTCGAGTACCATCTCTTTAGAGTATAAATATTCAAGGAAGAGATTCTATCTCTGTTTCTTCCTTTCCAGGGAGAGTAAGACCCCAACTTTAGCTGATGGGCCTGATCCAAGTTGTAAAATTACCTCTTGTCCTAAATATATGAGAAGTTTAGGGACCAACAGTTAGCGTAATGGCTATGTCGCTGGACTCCCACATAGTCGACCGTGGTTCGTGTCCTGGACCCAGTGGCTTAAAACTCACACTGGGTGTGTGTGCGTGCATGACCAAGATCCCGAGAGGAGAATGGAGGAGAAGGGATTGCAGCGTGACCATCCCCCTTGGGGGGTGATTTCTCGCTTTCTGTTTCTCTGTCTCTCTCAGTCTGTCTGGTGAGCGCATGTGCCCTATAGCAAAAACCAATCCCCAAAAAAAAAGTGTATTTTTTTTCTTTGTGTAAAGTCAGTTAATGAACGCAAATGCTTATCCCAATTACCTAGTGAATTGAGAATGAACCATGTGTAATTAATGGTGCTGTCAATTCCTCTTACGTGAGGGTGAATTGAATTATTATTTATCTTGAGACCATATATACAATGGGTTGCACTCCTTGGCTAGATGAAAGGTAAGATTCTTTCTATCTTCGCATAATTTTAGTGGGTTGACAGTGATGCACATAACATTCTAATTTAATGCTTATTCAATAACAAATGTCTTCTTCCTCTACTATTTTTATAAAGATTTCTGAGTAGGCAGAAAGATTTTTTTAAATTACATTTACCAATAAAAGCTTGGGACTTCCAACACAGGACGTTCATTTAAATTGGTTTACTCCTGCCAAATCTGGGGGTAGGAATGTCCTTCCTTTTATTATTTCCTTGCCCACCTGGATGCTTGGACAAGGTGGCTAACCATGCAGGTGTCTATATTAGGTGTCTTTATTTTTATGACAAATTTACCCTGCCCTCTAGCGAGTTATCTATAAGAGCATAGGAATCATCTTTTAATCAGCAGGCAATAATATCTGAATTCCAAGTTCTTGCTTGAAATTATAAACTTGAACTCAGCAAATAAGGATTTGTAAAATCTTGGTTTTGACAAATAGTGTTTTTGGGAAATTGCCTGAAGGGTATAAAGTGGGGCTATTCTTCCTGATAATTTCATTTGTATCCTTGAATCAAATCAGAAGATGAGTAGATTTTATGACAAGTAACTTATTTTGTTTTCTATGTTCTCATCCATAGACTAGACAGAGGAATGAGATGCTTGTCTTTCAATATGAGAACCTCAAATATCCATGGAGGTTCTATAATTCAGGATAAAATAAACACCAAATAGTATATGCCACCAAAGTAACAAACCAGTCACTATTACCTTGCTATTAAAATTGCTTATCAAATATGCACAAATAAAGGGAACAGGAGAATAAGAGAAGAATTTGCCTAGTATGTGTTTTATGGGAAGCTAGTGAATAATTAACTCTCAAATATGTTAATGACAAATGGATCTGAAAGGTCAGAATCTAATTCATCTAATCGGGTCCAGCAGGTTGCATGGTGGTTAAGGTGTTGGACTCCCATATTGCTGGCTGCCATTCAAGTCCCGGATATAGGGGCTTGAAAATCCCACCAGGCGTGTGTACACATGTGCCCAAAATCCCAGGAGAAGATCGGAGGAGAAGGGATTGTGGCATGGCCAGGCCAGCCCCCCCTGGAGGGGTGATTTCTCTTTTCTCTCTCACTATCTCTTTCTATGTCTCTCTAGCAAGCCCATATGCCCTATGGCAAAAACCTTTTTTAAAAGTATATATTTTTAGAAGTTCATCTGATTATATTTGTGGAAAGCATTTGACCCTCAAGTTGAACATAAAATATTCCTAGGCCTTCATGTAGCAGGTGAAACCAAGAGGAGCAGATCCATTTATATCTAATTCCTTAGTATGACTTTCTCATGTAAGCCTATACGAAGAAGTGTGCTACACAGCTGTGGATCAAAGAGTTGCAGAATTCACTAAGTATGATAAAAAAAATATCAGACACGATTATTGCTACTAGAATTTAATTTCTTTCACAGTAACTTGAGTTAGAAACCATTTATTGAGTAACTCATGCAGAGGGTATGCTCTCCCTGAATAGTGTTAAATATTCACTTCCTTCGCAACTACTGCATCCAGGTGAACAATAGAAATCTCTGAAAATGGCTTTCTTTGAAAATTGATTAGTTAGTTGACACAATGGTTAAATCCCTTACTTAGGAACCAACCCATGGTGCACAAGCAGTAGGGTGCTGTTTCACAGTACCAGAGCTATAAGAGAGGCCTGAGTTCAGATCCCAGTCTACCTGAAAGCACTGGGTGTGCCAACATGCACCCATGATCCTGGTTGTGTGGGAGACAGGGAGAGGATGTCAGCGTGATGAGACTCTGTCAAGTGTACCTCTCTCTTCCTCTCCCTTTCTCTCATTAAAAAAAGTATTAAAAATTTTTAAACATTGATCATTTAGGAATCTCATCTGCTTGTATGAGGGTTTGTCAGTGGCCAACTATTTTTAAGTGTCATATTAAGCACAATAATCCATTGTTTGGAATGCATTAAGCCCATAGGCTCAGCTTTCACCAAATGCTATGCCTAGGCCCAGCCTAAGCAGTTTCCAGGCTTATGTGCAAAGTCAAGGAAAAGAGAAATGAAGAATTAGGTTCTGTGAAGAAAATGATGGTGAATCTCAGCTTACCATCTCTCAAAGTCAATCTACTGCAGGTTAAAGCACATGTTTTACCTTTATGCAGTTGGGCAGTAACATGTGATCCAAAGTTTTAATAACTGACAGCATTCAATGAAACAAAATTTTGTTTGACCCTTCTGCTTTTGCTTTCAATTTTTGGTGTTCAAGATTAAATAACTGATTGGATTGGTTTCTTTAGACTACCAATAGAGAAGCTCTAATTTGAGGATCCAAACTCTTGGTGCATATTTGAATCCCCTGGGGAGATTTTTAAAGCATACCGATGACTTTGCCCACCTCCAGAGTTTCCTGATTTAATTTGTATTAAGTGGAGCCCTGCCAGGGTTCTGTTTACAAGTCACCCCAGGTGATTCTAATGTTTAGCCAGAGTTGAGAACCATGGTGCTAGATAGAATTATTCTTTTGACTTAGATTTTTTTTTCATTAACCTGAGAAATCATGTGAGTTATTAAAATGATGGGTAAGTTGAATCACATAGATCTGCAGTCAGTTTGTATTTCAGTTGAGTTTTAAAACTAGTATCTACAAATAGCATGATTGGATTCAAGCCTGGTAGTAAGGTAAACAAACTACTGTCTTCAGAAAATGAAAGAGAGTAGAAATGGAGAGAGCCTGATACAGACAGTGCTCTTCCATAATTCTTTACTTGCACTGAGTTTTTAACTGGAATGGTTCATTCCTTCAAGCCATATAGTTGTAAAACCAGAATTACTTTATAAAAACGCATATTTTTCTTGACTTACATTTTGTAGGTAGATAAATACCAGAGGGAAGCTTGGGGGAAACACATGGGTCAATATTACAGTCAATACTACAGGTCATAAGTAGTTGTAAGAAGTTGGTAGGTTGCTCCAAGCTGCACTAATTTTACTGTGAAGTCAGATATAGCATACTCGAAGCATAAGATGGTCTTTTGATTAATTATTTATATTTATTTTAACACTAATAGTTAATGTCCCCCACAAATATTAAATTAGCTATCCAATTATATCTTATATTTAGATTTAATTTACCTCTTTGGAACCAAGAGTTTCATGTTCAGGAATAGCCACCATTGGATGACTCAGCTTCACAGAAAAGATGCCCAGGATATGATTAGGAGTAGAAGTGAGGAGAAATAAATGTTTAAATTTCATTTAAGTAGACAATGACGTAAGTACATTATTGCAGGTAATAGTAAATTCTACCACATATAAGCATTAAGATTCAATTGTCCCTAAAAAAAAAAAAAAAAGGAAGATAAGGAAGATATTGATATTTCTTTGAGCAGGAAATAAATGTTTAAATTTCATTTAAGTAGATAATGACGTAAGTACATTATTGCAGGTAATAGTAAATTCTACCACATATAAGCATTAAGATTCAATTGTCCCTAAAAAAAAAAAAAGGAAGATAAGGCAGATATTGATATTTCTTTGAGCATGAGACTACTTATTAATTTTTGTGCCATATTAAACTCTTAATAGTGCTCAGTAGGTAGAACAGACTGTCATTCATTATTTATTGAATGGATGAATTGTCGAAACTCACTGGCAGATTTTTGTAGAGAGAAAACAAAGTTAAATTTATGTTTTTAACTCTCACACATAGACCTCTAATTGAAAAGCTCAAAAGGAGAAGCAACAAATCCTATTCAACCTACAGTAATTTTTTTTTTTAATCTGTAGATAGCAAATACTTACTAGGAATGTAAAATACTACAAATTATTATGAATATTTATAGTGTCATATACAGGGACTTAATAAACATTGCAATCTCAACAGAGGATATTATGATAATGTAATTTACAGCATAGTGACACTTTAATAGAAGAGTTTCCTTTGCATATTGCTGCATGTCTTTATGCACTACACATACACTTGATCTGTTAAGAAAGAACGTCATTGATATGCAAGAAAGAGAAACAGACAAACTGAGAGATACACAGAGAAGGGGAGAGTAATCAGTTGTAATGATATGTCTCTCTCCCTTTTTGTATTCACTGTCTCACTTCACTCCAAATTTAGATTAACCACAGAACCCATTTTGCTAGAATATTACTCACTTTTGCTCTTGTCCTGGGACAAATCAGAACTAAGGAAATGACTGGAGTCATTTCACTCTCAATAGGGTTTGTCTTTGGACAATAATTCAGTGGGACAATGACAAGTTCCCAACCCTCCGGATCCACTTGGACATGACCAGTAACTTAGCATTGACCCTGGAAGGATTCTGACCCCAGCTGCTGAGGAGGCCAAGGAGCTCACTGCCTGATAATTTATCAGGCTTCCTTCTGTCTCATCAGACGTTCAAGAAGTTAGCTTTGCTTTTATTTAAAGGTATACCTTCATGAAATCTCAGCCTTGCACTCTATTCCCAAATGTAAAATCCTCTGGGTATTATCACATCAGGACTTCTTCTAGCTGCCCTAGACCATTGCTTTAAATAGAAGCATGACCTGGCTTTAAAGTCAACTCAAGATCTAAATAGCATTCCAGAAAGCAGCTGAAGCACCAATAGTTTCCTGTTCACCAGGCTCTCCTGAGAATCCTAAACATGGATTAGAATCAGACCTTATATACTATTTTAAACTTCAAACCTAAGTAATTGGTCCCAGGGACAACAGAGTCTTCAGTATATCTAGGTTAAGTGATAACAGTATGTATATGAATTGTTGGTTTGTACAATATCAAATTTCTGTTCTCCTAATCTCCTAATATAGAAAAGAATTATTCTGAAATTCTTAATATTAGTAATATCCTGATAAAATTCTTAACTGAGATTAGAAAACAAATGGATTCATTAAATTATTTCTACTTGTATATACCATTCATTCTTTCCAATACAGTTATTAAGTCCACTTATTTTAATCCTGAATGTCAATAACCATTTCCTGATTATCCTAATCCTAGTCAACAAAAGAGAACAGAAAATAACTGATCCTAAGTAATTAGTAATCTCCAAATAATTTCTATTTGGCTTTGGAATGCCTTCTAAAAGGCATTATCATCTTTTATCACAGTAGGTTTGCTTTTGTGTTACCTTTAAACTTACTGAAAATGTGATACTAATATTTCATGAAGGTTCATGGGTTTAGTTATAATAATGCAGTATGTATGCACATGACAAATTCTTTATATACATTTGTTCATTTAATTTTCACAAGGTACTAGCAAGTTGAGCACTAACTTTACTCTCTCACAGATGAGAAAACTAAAAAACTGAGAGGTAGAATAATTTATCTAAGGTCCAAAATTATTATAGTGAGTTGGGGAGACATGATTGGAATCTGCAGTGACAGTTTCTGGAGACTGTGATCTCCAAGCAAGTACAAGGTAGTAATATGCCCTTGGGAATATATCCAGGAGAAGGGAATAATGACAGGTAGAGAGATGGATGAAGGGGTTGGGGTGTGCTATTTAGCAGACAGAAAAGCCTATTAAAATCAAGTGTCTCATTCAGTGACCAGAATATTTCAAAAGTGACTGGTGTAGCTATGAAAAGCCATTCAGAGGATACAGCATGATGGAGCTTGAATGTCATATAAGGAGTCTAAGCTTTATTCTTTCCAGCAGGGAAAGTTCATTGAAGTACTTTAAACAAGAGAGTGACACAAATGATCAAATTCTCATAACAAAAACAGTCGCATTGGCTGATGTGCAAAATATAGATGGGGGAACCTGGAAGATATTTCAGTAATCCATGACTGAGATATAGAGGAGGGTAGGGCAAGAAGGGGAGGAGAAAGGAAGGAAAAAGGAAGGAAGAAAGATAAAAGAAGAAGCTTCAAGTGAAAACATTGCCTCAGAGACTAGAATAGACTCAAGTCTTTCTGGATGACTAGCTCTCTTATTCTCTAGGAGTAGCATGAAGTACAAGTACACACCAGGGTATTTTGCTGAGTAGGGAAGAAAAATTGGGAAATGCTAGAAAAAGTGCTGAATGGTGAAATATCTTTGAGTGCAGAGACTTGGTAATATATGAGGACTTTAGATGTCAAGTGGGGAGTATAATAAAAGATGGTATGAAAATCCTGCCACAGTTAGAATGGAAACAAGGAACATAAAACATTAAAATAAGCTCTACATAGTGAATGGCTTGCTATCCAGAGAGCAGGTGAATGCTGAATGACAGAGTTATCCAAGCTGATTACTTGGTAAAGTAAGCATTCTGCAGAACAAATTACTAGTTTGCCTCAAAGAAAAAAAAAATAACTGAAAAGTTATTCATTTTATCATCAGAGCATTATCCCACATAGAAGGATGAACATAATGGAGAACTTGGGTGAAATGAAACAAAAGATGCTTTTATCCCAGATGGAAAATTTGGTCCTAAATATTGTATGATGGATTCATTAGACCTTTGCTCACTCACCATTGTTGGATAATCAACTAGTGGTATTTGACTAAAATGTTCAGTTGAGGGACCAGCAAATGGCATAATGGCTATGTCGCTGGACTCCCATGTAGTTGACTGTGGTTCGAGTACCGGACCCGGCAGCTTAAATTCACACCGGGTGCATATGCATGCATGCCCAAGATACTGAGAGGAGAATGGAGGAAAAGGGATTGCTAGATTGCTACATTCTCTCTCTGTCTTTCTGGCGAGTGCACACTCCCTATAGCAAAAAAACTCTCAAACAAACAAACAAACAAACAAACAAACAAACAAAAAAACAAGTTCAGTTGATTTATATTATATTCTTTTTTTTTTTTTTTTTTGGAGGGGTTTTTGCTATAGGACGCTTGCACTTGCTGGAAAGACAGAGAGAGACAGAGAGAAAGAAAGCGAGAAATCACCCCCCAGGAAAGGATGGCCACACCACAATCCCTTCTCCTCCATTCTCCTCTCGGGATCTTGGGCACACACACACATGCGTCCGGTGTGAGTTTAAGACACTGGGTCTGGGACTCGAACCATGGTCGACCACATGGGAATCCAGCGACATAGCCATTATGCTAACTGCTAGTCCCATTTATATTATACTCTTGATCATGGCTGCCAGTAACGTAATATAAAGCCTTGGGAAGTCTTTGTTACTTGTGTGGGGCTTTCTCAAAAATATCTCTGCTTCTCCAGAGGTAATATGACCTTCTCTAGCAAAGACAGAGAAAATCTCCTCAGACCAAATGAAAAACATAGGAACCCAACAACTAGAAAAACAAAAAATATGCAAATTGTGATTAAATCAGTTAACTAGGGGGAAAAATGAAATTCAGCTCTAGCTTTTTTGAAACAGTTCTCCCCTCTTGCATGAAGATAAAGTAGGTTTTCTTGACTGCCAACGATTATGAAGCTGAGGAAATGTGGCAGGAAGTTTTAACCTTTTAAAATCTGTTAGAATTAAATTCTTTGAGATTGCTTTTTTGTTCAATCACATCCTCTTGTAGATTCCTTCACACCATTTGTTTTCAGTAATCTGTGCCTTTTACTTTTTTCTCTTCACTCAGATTTGAGAACTACTCAAGTTGGTGTGTAACCTTCTTAAGACTATTTCTCAAAAATACACGAGGGGTCAGATGGTGGTGCAGCACTAAAACACAATACTCCGTGAGTCAGAACTATCTTGGAAAGTTCTGGGTTCATGTCCAGAGACGGCCCTGAGTATGCCAGGCATGTGTGTGTCCATAATCTGAGCTCACTAAAGCTGGTGGTGGATCACAACATCAAGACCCTTCTGGGGTATTATATCTCTGTCTCTCTCTCACACAGATGTGTGAACACTCTAATGGAATAAGCTTAAAGAAAAAAAGTAGAATCACAAATTATTGTACCAACACTTACATAAAATAAGCATAATGTTGTTATTACGAGACTATAAACTATTAAAAGATTATGTTATTCATCTTTAGGTTTTATGTACCTGACCTAGAGTCAATTCAGCACAAAGTAGACACTAAATGAGTATTAAATGACTAAGTTAATAAGAGAAAGAATGAATAAAATACTTAGAGAAAAGAATGAGGGTTTTGTGTTGAAAAAAATCAAAGACGTCTGAATTAGTAAATAATTAGGAAATGTTTACTGCATTCCTAAAGGTATCCTGATTTGTATGAGACCTTGCAAAAGGGAGATCCTTCAAGTAGA